AAGATTGGAAACAGTTCCCTAGAAGAGGTTGGTATTGACACACAGTATTACCAAAAATCTTACCTCTTTCTGGAGGGTCTGTGAGGCCCAGATCACTCAAGGGGAAAAAATGTGTTTCAAGCAAACAGACTGCAGGGGGCTCCTGTTAGACCCCCTTCCTGTGAGTGTTTCCATCAGATCCACCATGGATGCATTTCAAATACCAAATTTCTACTCTAATGTTTTTAGGGAAGCATGTAAGAGGAGGCATGACTCAGAGCAGAAATCTTAGATGAGTGTTGAGAAACACATGGGAAGAACCTCATAATAAAAAGAAAATAAACTCTGGGAAACGTGGTTTAGAAAATCAGACTCAATTAATAATGGAGCCTTCAATAGCCCTGGAGAAATCCAATACAAACCAAATTCAAACTACATGCCAGTGCTTCTGGCCATATTTACCTTCAATTTATTATGTTTAAAAAAGATTTTAGGGGGGATTCTTTAAGAAAAACAAATTTGGTTAAAAACTACATTTTTCTATGAAATGAAAATTAGGTAAAGAGCATTAATTTTAGACTTCTCTTTAAATGAGAAACAGATTTCTTATTTTTTCTTATTTGGTTCATTTAAAAATTTTGAGAAAAGATGAKAACTTACAATAGTAAAGACAGAACTAAGATGAAGTTAAGGGAGAATGTAATGGAATGGGAAAATATACAGTATTTAAAAATGCAATTTTAAGTCATGCATAACTTGTCTTGGAGTTCATCCCAGAGGAGTATCAATACAGACAGGGATAATGGTGAAATCTGAATTAGAACTGTGCAAGGTTTGAAATAGCAATAAGCTTAAGTCTTGGGAATGCAAACTGGATAACATTTTGGAATGAATGCTATCCAAAATGAGGGGAATGAAACTTAACCCCATACCATTCTTATTATATATACCTTAAAGGCACAACCACAGAGGCTTTTGGATACAGATGTAGATATAGACATACATAGGGTTATGGATAGACAGACACCTGCTTTAGGGTATCAATTAGTTCCTAGGTCAAAGTTGTAATAGTGCAGCAGTTTCTAGGGGGRAAAAATCATTTCCTATTCTGGCTAAGAATATTTAAAAAATGACTTTCCCATAACATTTTCTAATGGATCTTCCAGTCACAGTTTCAGTCTTCTATGGAAGCATAATTTATGTAGTGGATGACAAGAAGAGTTTTATGATATCTGGAATTCATTTTAAATCTGTAGATGGGAAAAACTGAGATCCAATTAAAACCTTAATAAATGACTGTGTTGAATATAAATATATTAAATTAATATGTATGCAGGATGAAATTGAAAAAGTTATGGGAGTCTGCATTTTAATTCTATCAGGGAACTGTATGTTATAACTCTAAGAATTACTTGGTAATGGGGATGTTTACAATGAAACTAAAATGAATTTAAATAGCAAGATTTAGCCCATGACTTGCCATAACTCATAAGGTCTCAGTCTTAAGGCAGGTTGAGATCTCACTGAGAAAAAGCCTCAAGGAGAGGGAAGATGTAGCAAATGAAAACAAGAACCTTTGAGGCTGATGTAGGGATAGGGCTAGTTTGCAAGATCTTGCCAGAAAGGGAAGCAAGGCCAGGCAGGCTACTATGTGGCAGACCCCATATAGTAGGTAAGATAAAGCAGGGACAGTCTTGGATGGGAAGAAAGTCTCATGGGCGGAAGGTGGTAACAGTTTGGTTGTGTGGAAACCTGGCTGGAATGTGCAGAGTTTTTGTTAAAGTATTTCCCAGGGGCTAAGGGTTGAAAAATATAAGACCGTGTTTACATTCAGATAGAATGTAACTATCCTCCACAGACTTACATACTAAACCTACCTTTTGTATCTGAGTATGTATCCTAGAAATGTTACATTCTTATGTAGGTGTTCTTATGACCAAACCTAAATCTGAATGGTTCTAAATGGTAGAGACTGCCCTTCTCACATACTGGCCAAGTGAGTATAGCAATGAAGAAGACAGATCCAAGCTGGGCGTGGTGGCACACGCCTGTGTGGCTTGGGAGGCTAAGGCAGGAAGATTGTGAGTTCAAAGCCAGCTTCAGCAAATCAGCAAAGGCCTAAGCAACTCAGAGAGACTAGGTCTTTAAATAAAATATTTAAAAAGGCTGGGGATGTGGCTCAGTGGTTAAGTGCCTCTGGGTTCAATCCTTGGTACCAAAAAAAAAAAAAAAAAAAAAAAAGATCCAAAAGTATGTGGGTTCAAGCCCCTGGTCCCCGACTTACCAGTTGAACATGACATCATCTACAAATGTTGGAGGGTCAGATGAGACATTGCTAACTCCAGAATGCTTTAATTTTCCTATCCTTATTTTTGGAACAATCTATTAGCTTTATATTTTACAATTTGAGGGTTGAAAATTTATTCTACACCTATGGGTTAGCCTAAGCTATTCCTGTAGTTTGGCTTGTTTTGAAATAAAAAATATCCTGAACACATGCTCCCACCTTCCCACTTTCATTCCCTGGTTGATTCAGAACCTGTTTTCATTCCTATCCAAAATATTTTTTGAATGGTCCATCTGAGACAGTGATTGTTAATACTATTTTATAAATTTTCTGGTCCAGATTTATTCTAGAATTTATAGTTTGTTTTTATATTTATTTTATGAATGTACCTTCATTCCTAACTATATTTGGGCATAAGTTCTGGATGCTAGTAAAAATTAGCATTTTGGGAAGTGTGGACATGGTTGGTAGGAGTTTGAGAAAGACTAATGTTAGAGTTAGTAAAGCCCTCATCACGGCATACCCAAGTCACAAGATGCTAAATGTTTGCCCCTTGTTATTCATCCTTCTGAGACACCAGGAAGGGATGGTAGTCATCATCCTATTCATCTTCTGCAATCTATCTTCAGTGGAAAGTTTTCTTCTTTAGATAATGAGCTACCATTTAAAAAAATTCTTGTAGTGACAGGAATTAAGTGAGTGCATTCACAAACATTTTTTTATTTATTTTAATAGGGATATACACTATTATATAAGGTAAGGATAAAGAAAGGTTAAGACACTTGGTCAAGCTCACTAGAGTCTGATGTGTTGCTTCCCAGATGTGCAGRCTTTCTGGAGAAACCATGATGTGCCCTGCCCACCCTTGCTCCTCCTTTCTTAGAGTTTTGCTTCTGCTTTGGCTAAGGCCCTTACCATATTGTGTTCTCATGCATCTTTTATCTTTCCCACTTAACTGTGAGCTCACAGTTAGGATAATATTAGAGAGCATGAAAGTTTTTCTCATTTCCCTGACAGGTCTGATAGTGTCTTAATAAAGATTTTTCCTCCAGTTCATCATAGCTACAAAAAAAAAAAAAAGTTTATTCTTCTATTTACTAGTACCTCGAAAAGTTTGTTGATTAATTCAAGGAATTAAGGAATGGATGAATGAATGAATAAAATAAAATAATTGAGTTTTCTGGCCTCTAAAGACCATGAGCTAAAACATCAGTTTAAAGGATACACACAGTCCAAGAAGTTCTTGCTGAAAATACAACTGATCTCCAAGGAAGAGGGAGGGCCAGGAAAAAGGGTTGGCAGGAGTTTGAGAAAGACTAATGCAGAGTTTGGTTTCCCAGGGAGCAGGGAGTTTGACCAGCCTCCCTCTTTTCTGTGGTTCCTCCAGCTCTCTCAGGATTTTGAATGCTCTCATCAACAAACTACAAAGTCCCTTGGACACCTGGTTTCCACCTCTTGGTTTGTGAGCCAACCACTACCAGCCCGCAGTGCTTTTCCTAACTCCATGTCAGCAAATTAATCAGGGTTTCTCCAAGGGAAACTTCTTTTGGGTAAATATTTTGAGCTACTTTTTTAAGATTTTCTGACAAATCAAGTGGGGAATGTATGGATATTTGCAGAATTCTCTCTCTCTTCTGTATGTAGTGTTACTTTCTTTGTGGAAATGACTGCTTCTGTTTGTTGGCTCTGGCTTGGGAATCTGGCTTTCCTTTTTATTGTCAAAGAGCACCTAGAGAGAAGGAGTGGAGAGAGAGGACTGGGAACATCTTTTCCCTGACCACCTGACTCTCAGGTAAAGCTGCCATATTGTCTTTAGTTTTAGTTACAGTTCAACTTGGATGCTTGAAAAACGACCTTCTGGATTTCCAAGTCTATCAAGAAAGCTTATATCTAGTTTTGTTATGAAATTGTAACAAACTTCTTTAAAATCCTAAACCTGTAGAAGGGAAAAGTCCTGTGTATATACACATATACTCACTTCATATACATATACCATCAATATATATATATATATACACACACATATATAACACAAGATATATATGTGTATACATATATATACACACACATACGTTGTTTCTACATAGTATTTTTTTAAATAAAAACTTTTTCATAAACTTAAATCAGAAAGAGCAATGGCATGTGTGTTATGAATTGCACACGTAAGTATATGTGTGTGTATAAAATATGTTTTTACACACACAGTCTACCACTGTATGGTTCATGACTTCTTTCACTGATAGATATTTGTGCTCCCTGATCAACAGAGAATATTTTTACAAATAATTTTACGTAAGCCCATCACAAGAGTCTTGCAAAGTGAAGCCTCCGTTCTTTAAGAGCCCAGGGAAAACTTGCCTTGCTACTTCGAAGAATCCTTTGATGCGCCCAAAGCCTTGCAGAAGGGCGATGCCAAACCCGTTTAACTTTTTCAAAAAAGTGTGAAATGTCTGTTAGGAGTTCTCTGATGTGTGAGGGGGGACCGAACCGAGAAGAAAAGGCCGCTTTCTCTTCCCAGCGGGACCCACATCCCTGCCTGCTGCAGAGAAGAATTTGCAGACATTGATCCACACAGAACATTTACGCGGGGGAAGAAAAAAAAAGAAGAAGAAGAAGAAAAGAGGTAGCAGGCACCCAGGGCTGCGGCCGCCGGCGCCGGCGCCCGGGACGGCACGTGACCCGGGGGCGGGGCTGCGCGGGCCGCGGGCCAGTGGACGGGGCCGGGGGCGGGGCCGCGGCGMGGGGGGCGGGGCCTGGGGCCGCGCAGCTCGCGCCGGGGTCCCCTTATTTGGATCTGCGGGAATGTGGGCTGGAGTGGTCCTGCCACGGTACCAGTCTCCAGCCCGCCGTCGGGACTGCCCCTGACCCAGGCGCGCCCGCTGCTCGGTGGCAGGAGGGCCGGCGGAGCGCCATGGCCTGCATCCTGAAGGTAACGACTCGGATCTGTGGCTCGGACGCGTGGTTGGCCAGCCCCTGGCTGCTAAGAGGCACCGAGTCAGCCGCGGTCCCACCGCATCCTCATCTCAGTTGTCTTTTCCTGGCGTTGATTTTCTTTTTGTTCCTTTGGCAAATGCATATGGAGGGAGATTCTGAAACATGCAGCTGGCACAGCTTCTTTCCCCACCATTCCTGCCTGCTCGCGCCTGCATTGAAGGAGCTGCAGACTGTTGGCTCCAGGGGAGAGCAGGGTTGTGTGCCGAATAAAGGGGATGGCAGAGAGAGGAAGGGGTGCTCCCGCGAATCCCCGCAGCTCTGTTGAGCCCGAGGCCTTTCGGGGGGCCACCGACCGAAGAGGAGTGCCTGGGCGTGGGTTGTTGCTAGTGAGGGGCWTCGCGTTTGGAATGGGGGGGAGGGAGAGCAAGGGAGTATTTGATCGTGTGAAGACAAAAACTTCTGGGTTTACAGGTAGTCTCTGAGGAATGAGTTTTCTGTGAAATCTGCTCTCCCTCTGTGACATTAGCTCTACTTTGGAAAAGTTCATAGGAAGATAATGTTCATCGGAAGAGGACCTTGGGCTTCTGTAAGGTTCATGAATTTGAAGGGACGAAATGATTTTACAACCTATCAAAGTTCACCCAACCACCTCTTTTTGGTTGAGTTCCTTTCTCCAAGTCTAAGTTCTTCACCTGTACTGAGTATCTATCTGGGTTCACAGCCTTGTGGCTTCAGGTGATGTGGGGGCTCCCTTAAGAAGAACTTTCTCTCCATCCCCTGGAAATGCCCCTCCCTTCCCCACTCCTTGCCCCATTTGCTGCTCACTTCTATTTCTACATATGCCTAACCTGACTGCATRCTTGAAACATTCACAACGTGAAGGTTTCCTTGACCTTGACTGGAGAAATGTGAAAGCCTGTTTGTTCCCAGCTTGAGGAAGCTGTGTGTGAAAAACAAACCACACCAAAAGACAATTTTTTTGGGTTTTGTTGTGTTGTTGTGAAATAGCTTTTTGTTTTGTTTTRTTTTTCTGTAGGATGGTTTGAATCACCTACTGCTCTTCTACCTGAATCATCTTCCAACATGGCTTGGTGTTAATGATGCAATTAAGAAAGTAACCTAGTAGAGTTTGTGTCCCTTTCTTGGAAGTAAAGGAGATCAAACATTTCCTGTGACTTTTCTGAACTTCCTCTGTTTGTTTCAGAACATATTCTGGGACATAACAAATGGTAGTGAAATCATGAGGAAATAGTATGTGTTATAATACAGGATCTTTATTTATTTATTTATTTATTTATTTTTTTCATGCAATGAGCAGGAGGGAGTTTATTGAAGAGGATCCTAATTCAGCGCGCTGAGGCTCAAGGCTCACTCAGGAAGGGAGAGCGGCCCAGAGCCAATACAGGATCTTTAACCTCAAGACTCTAAGAAATGAATATGAGTAATTTCTACTACTTTTTTATGCTATTCACTGTGGAATAAATTGAGGGACATAACATTTATTGCCCCTTTTGTATCTTGTGTGCGTAATTCTGTACATAGGTTTTTTTTTTTTTGAGCAGATTGCTGGGGATGGAACCCAGGGCTTCACACATGCTAGGCTAGGCATGTACTCTACCATAGAGCTACACTCCCAAATCTTTCCAAATATCTTTAATGCTTATCCCATGTTACATATGAGTATAATCTAACCTTTCACTTCTTGCGCCTCATGTTGACCTATATTAAGGCATATCTGATTTTATTTATCTTTCCTCAAAACTAATCTGGGATGCTAATACTGCAAAGAGCAAAAACTTTGGATGCACAAAGACATTAGTGTGCAACTTATATGACCCTGGACAAGTTAGTGAAATGGCTGTGAATCTGTTTTCTCAACAAAAGATCAAWCTACTAGCGCCTGTTAGTGGGGATGAAATAAATTAGGATAGGAAAAATACTTTGTAGCACAAGTATTTAATATTTGCCAGTTTTTCTTGATATATAATAATAACAAATGTAATTAGTACCATATCCTTAGAGTGTTTCATATAACTCTTATTCTTACATAGAAAGCCTGAAGAGGTACATATCATTGTTTTCAACTCCATTTTATAGATCAGGGAGCTGAGGGTCCTAAGTTTAAGAGATGTGCCTAGGGTCACACAGGGTTAAAGACAGAGTGAACTTGGATTTAGACGCAGGAAAGTCTGCCAACTTTCCTTATACTTTAAAGCTGTTCCCTGTACTTTCCCAGATGACTTTCTAAGATGCCGTAATACCATTTAGTCCTTGCTGCCTTTCTGTTTGATGGACTAGATGGTCTGTGATGGGCCTTTACCCCTTGTTGTCTTTGAAGGCTACACATAGTAGAGTGGTGAGAACAAGTTTCCAGAGACCTGCGTTCGGGGCAAGCGTGGCTTCATGCTATGTTTGTAGACAGTCATTTTCAACTTGGAGCCTTCCATTTCCCCAAGTTGTAGAGTATGTACAATTATAATAATTTCTAAAAAGGGTTATAGTAAAATAAAATGTTTTTATTTTATTTTTTGCTATGAAACATTTTCTTCTATATTCCGGCCCTAGACAGATGTTGGTATCTGCGAGGGAGGGAGAGGAAAGACTCTTTTAGCTTCTTTGCCTGAGCCTGATAATCAAACTGACAAAACAGGAGAAAAGCATACAATTTTCATTTGATATTAATATTTTTATGTGTGCAGAGACGTCTTCACATGTATAAGAAATGAAGACTCAAAGAAAGTGATAGGCTGAGAGCTTATACACCATTTTAACAAAAACTAATGAACTGTGGAGATGTGAAGAGACAAAGGTAAAAGGGGGTTTGGGGCTAGAGGTGGTAAATTTTAGGGAAGAGGTTGGGGAAACTAATGGAAAATAAGTTTTTCTTATTGTAAGTTTGTACAGATTTATCTTAGTGTTGACCTTCCACCTTTGATGATAAAAAAGTTCTTCTCTTCCTTATATAGAGAAAATACCTTTGTCATGGGARCTTATATGCCCTTCTTTTAGGTAGAGGGAGACATTAGAGGACTGTTCTTACATCTGCTTTTTCTCAGTTGCCTTCCGCTCAAAATAATCAGTATTCCAAAGCAGCATATATTGGAGTGGCATGTCCTAATTCCCTTCATATTACAAGATATATAAGCCATTGACCCCATTTTCAAGTGGCTTACCATATAGTAAGGGAGATGGAAAAGCAAATGATTGCTTATGTTATAATGTGAAGAACAAAATAGCATCAGTTTCTGGAAGCATAATAGAAGATAGAGGAGGAGAGCAGCGAATGCTGTTAGGGGGGTCGTCAAGACAGGCTTCATACTGATGATATTGGARCTGAATAGGATTTATTGCAATGGAGCTTTTGTTTTAAAAATAACTTTAGAGGTGATGTCAATTTTATTCTGTGGGTGAAGATTTTAATTTTCTCAAAAAATTATCGGAGTAGATTTTACTGTTCACTTTTCCATATAAGAAAACCAAGATATAGAGATATCTATGGAAGTATAATTTTGCCTATACAATGGTGACTCAAAAAATGCTTATCTTACCTGTAATCCCAGTGGGGCAGGAGGCTGAGGCAGGAAGATCGTAAGTTCAAAGCCAGCCTCAGCAAAAGCGAGGCACTAAACAACTCAGTGAGACTCTGTTTCTAAATAAAATACAAAATAAGGCTGAGGATGTGGCTCAGTGGTCGAGTGCCCCTGAGTTCAATCCCCAGTACTCCCCCCACAAAAAAAAAAAAATGCTAATCTCTTACTAGCTGAGAGGAGAAGTTCATGTTTGGTGGCTAATGTTGCTCTTTTAAGGAATGGAACTGTTCCTTCAAGGCATTGTGCACACCCAGGACCCATTCTGTCCATGCACAGGGCTTGTTCTCATAACAGAGTGGTGGTCTCCTCAATTATTTAATTGTGGGGTCCAAATTCGCTCCACATCACATGGGCCKTCAAGCCAAAAATATGTGGGTTTTAATTATGTCTTCACCTCTTTTTACCACTTATTAATTATAGAACCAGAGCAGTGGTTTTTTTTTTGTTTGTTTGTTTGTTTTGTTTTTATTGAGAATGGGTTATTGTAGGAGTTAAGTGAGGTGATCGGTATACTCATTATCCTGAATACACAAAAACAAAACAACTCCAAATCTCAATAGGTTTATTTCTTGCCATACTCTTCTGGTAACTCTGTCACAGAGTGAACAAGCAACACAAGGATTGGTGTCTTTAGACAAATTAGTCATTTGTCTTTCTTCTAAGTTGTAGATGTTTATAATTTTATGTGATTAAAACTGCGTATATTGTGGTCTTTTATGATTTCTACATTTGGTCAGCAAGTACTTTTTGAGCACCRTATCTTGTACAGTTTCTATATTTAACAAACATTTGATGAATTGTATTGAATTTTTATTTGCTACTGAAGTGAACATTGAGTGGATATGTGGGTACAAAGTACTTGTGAATTATTTCTGCCTTAAAGAAGATTACAGTTTTGCCAGGTTGATGAGGATTATGAAGATGAGGCAGACAGAACATGGTACAGTTGGTGCATGACTGAGCTCCTGTTATCTTTTCTCTAGTCATGTGTCCTTGACTATTTATCGTGATTGATAGGAAATTGGATGAGTTGTGATCTCAAGTTATGAACTTAGTGTCTTCTCATTTACTTGTTTTCCTCTTGCCCCAGATCTAATCCTCCACCATATTGCATCAATTCTGACTCAGGAAAGTCTTTCAGATCTGCCCTTTACTCTGCATCTTTATTCCCTTTGCCTTGGTCTGTCTTTTGAAGTAGGCTCTTTTCTTGAGGCTCTTCACRGTTCCGCCCATCTTCCTTATCACTTTCAGAGTATTGTGTAAAATGCAGTACCAACTAAGCATTTTTTTTGGTCTTAAATGCTGATTTTGCCTCCCCAACCCCTGAGTGATAAACTTGTTTAGCATCCTTCAAATTCCTTTAGAGTCTGTCCCCTGCCCATGTATCTGGCCTTACCACTTATTG